ATAATTTTGCATAGCAGAAGCAATACTATCTTTACAGTGCTTGGAGCTTCTCAAGTTTAATCCAGCACAGAATGAAATAGGAGATTCTGGCAGGGGCCAAATCCTGCCATTGTAGGCCACAGTGGAATGTGGATTTCTTTGAGGTATATCAACAACTGTTGAAGTGTTTAAGCAGGGAAGTGACGTGACCCAATTTATGGTTTAGAAATGTCACTCTGGCCAGGCAGGGTATAGCACATGCCTGTAATCCCAGAGGCTCAGTAGCCTAAAGCAGGAGAATGGTGAGTTCAGAGCCAGCCTCAGCAACAGCAAGGTACTAAGCAACTCAGTGAGACCCTGTCTCTAAAGAAAATACAAAATAGGGCTGGGGATGTGGCTCAGTGGTCAAGTGCCCCTGAGTTCAATCCCCAGGATCCCCTTCCCACCACCACCCCCAAAAAAGGAAAGAAATGTCAACTGCGTCAAAAGTGAATTCAAGGGTAGGAAAAGTGAAAATGGTAACACTGAATTGTGGACATTTCTTCATTGAATTTGAGGACAATTAGAACAAAGAAATATCACTAAGTTCCCAGGAATAAAAGGGCTCAAATGATGCCTGATTTCCTGTTAGGCTGATTCCATGATTGGGGAACTCTCCCCAGGCAGGCATGATGTTACTGAGTTTCTGGAAAGTAACACCCTAGATATAAAGTACTGTGGCTAGAAGCCTCTAAGCTGGGATCAAAGCCCTGGATCAGTGTGGACCTGCAGCTTATTAGCTGCATGGATTTAGGCAAACTGATTCCCTTCCCTGAACCTCCAGGTTTCTCTGGGGCAAGAGTAGACTAATGTTTGCTAAGTGCTTTACATACATACATTACTCTGGTCAATCTCCAGGGGATTCTATGAAGCAAGCATTTTCTTAGATTTACAGATCCCTACAAAGAGGCTCAGAAATAGAAATGACTTGCCCGCAGTCACGTGATTCTTTGGGGCAAATTGACAGTGTGAACTCAGGTCTCCTATACTACACTTCCTTTATTAATTAGAATATACTATTTAAGACTAAATTTTGCCAAGAGGATGAGAATCTCACTCCCATCCACAGCAAAGCATAACTGCAAAAAATCCTAAGGGTAAAACTCCCTAAGCAGTTCTTCTTCTTTCTCTTCCTAAATAATTTAAGGGGCTGGGGTTGTGGCTCAGCGGTAGAATGCTTGCCTTGCACATGCGAGGCCCTGGGTTCAATCCTCAGCACTACATAAAAATAAATAAATAAAACAAAGGTGTTGTGTCCATCTACAACTTAAAAAATAATAATTTTAAACAAAACCCCATAGGGAGGGGCCAAAAACAAAATGGTAAAGCCTTGTGAGGGGAGCTTAGAGGCGAGGAGTTCCAGAGCAGAAAGTCAGAACCAGAGCAACGTGAGGAGGGCTTCCATGCAGGGGCAGGAGGGTGGGAGGAAGGATCCTGGCGAAAGCCTCAGAACTGAAGTGGGTGATGAGTTGTCCACCTGGTAGGGCCCTCTGGAGCCAGGTGGCACAAGTGCCAGAGTTCAAGCAAGATGAGGATGAGAATTGCCTACATAATTTTGGGGGCTCAGTGCAAAATGAAAATACAAAGTCCCTTGTTCAAAAATTAAGAATTATGAGATGGTGATAGTGTTAAATCAAGCATGGGGCCCATCTAAGCATGGGACCCTGCACCACTGCATAGGTAACAGCCTTAAGAAGCTGGTCCTGCCAGTGCCAGGATTGAGGATGCGGGCAATGGCAACAATAGAGATTGGCTCCTTACACAGGGGCTGAGCAGCTAGTTAGATAAATAAATAAGTGAAGGGTAAAGATAAAACAGTTTTATCTCTATCATAATATGAGAAAAAAGAACTAGGATGGAACCTGAAATTCATCGATACAAATTGCCCAGATCTTTGTTTCTAAGTATCATCTCCATTAGGGGAAACCAGGACACTGGAGAGGTAGATGATTCTAAGATTAGGCTAGGAAAAAAAAAATCACAAGATGGGGCTGGGGCTGTAACAGTGGCACAGCGCTTGCCTAGCATGTGTGAAGGACAGGGTTCCATCCTCAGCACCACATAAATATAAAATGGATTTAAAAAAGGCATTCTGTCCATATAAAACTACAATAAAATTTAAAATAAATCACAAGATGATCCTGAGATATCTAGTTGTGCCAGAAAATAAGGGACTACTTTAAAAATGATGGAGGAAGATGATGTCAACAGGACACAAAAGCCAGTTTAAAAAGGCCCCAACTCCCCAAATCTGTATAGGTATCAGAATAAATAATGACAGAATGGCCCCACTGAATAAAATGGGATCCACAAAAATGAAAAAATAAGGATTCCTGAGGTTCTTATCAATAGAAATAAGGAAATATTTACATAATTGTAAAGTATGAAAAAAAAATACCTTTACAGTAGAAAAGTGGGGTGGTCACCATCTTAACCCAGTGATGATGACCATCATCAGTAATTGGACATACTGGAATCATACAGGTTATAAGCTGTGCTATTCATTGTTTATTCTGATATTTAAACTGGCATCATCTGCCACCTAATAGGATGTGGTGAGAAGAGCCCATCATCATGTCTGTGATATGTCTGCTAAAATGGATAACCTGAATCAATCATGAAGAAACTAAAATAAAACAAAACTGAACAGAATTCTGAGAACCTGACCATAATTTCCTAGATTATCAAGGTCATAATAGTGAAGGAAAGATGGAGGAACTGTTTTAAGATCAAAGAAAACTGAAATAATAGTGGCTCTGAACTTCAGTCTTTTCCTAAAAACATACATTTTTAAGATAAACTTTGTTAAACTTTTAAGATTTGAATTGAGTCTGAGAACTAGATGGTAGTAATAATTCTATGATAATTTCCTGGTGTTCATGGATTTACTGTGGCTATGTAGAATAATGTGTGGGCATCAGGTCTGAGTAAGAAGCCTCTCATGCTCTATAAAGAGGAAGCAAGGTCAATGTTGATTAGCTGTGTGAGTAGAGAAAAGTGCTTTGGCTTCTCTGTACCAAGTTCCCAAGATTAGGAGTGTTTGCTCCAGAGGATTATAAATTTACTGTCTACTCCTGAACGTTTTGAATCCATGATTTTAGCGTTTTTAGTTAGCTGAGGGTAGGAGCTGCACAAATGTCAAACTATCAGAAGCCCAGGGAGTCATGTGACCTTTGCCTCAGAACCATCCCTGGTGCCCCCTTGTGGTCATATTTGGGAACCACTGTTGCAATCATGAAAATGACAATTTTCAGTCTGGCTGCAGCCCCCACCACCATGCAAGGGCAGGGTCTTTTGGTAAAAGTTTCCATCTCCCTCTCCTGAAGTGAAAACTCCCAACATCTACCTGGAGTATCCAGCCACAGTTTGAAAGCAGGCTGGCTTCTGCTCTGAACAGGCTGCTGCACTACATACATTGCCATGGAAAGGGTATCCCTCTGCAATTTAGGATCTGGTTATTACTGATGCTCTCCTTAGGCAGATGTAGTAGAATTCCATAATACACACGGGTTATCACTATTCACAAAATTAATGCTTGAGAATAATGGCCTCCCCTTATGGGATGGCCTACAATAGAACCAGAGCTTGGCAATCCAGTGTTCAGCCAGCCTCAGGCTGGGGGTGGAAATGGAGCTGATCTTCTGTCATAAATCTGGCCTTGCCTCCATCCCCAAGGAACTGCTGTTCTCTGATCTGCGCTTTCCATCCTAAGGCCTGTCTTGTGCTATAGAACCCTGCTTCTCCAGAGCACTTCCTCTCACTGCATCTTCTAGAAACTCTGAAGAAACCAACTTCCTGCCATTCCAAGTCAGGTGCTCCTGCAGACTTTACACTTTCTGGTCTGTCCAATCAGCAACTCCAGCTCTCCCACCTGCACCTGCTGTTCTTCCCTCCTCCATCCTGCCTGGAAAACTGTCAGCTACCCTTCGAGGCCCAGCTCAGGCACTGTTTCTTTAGTGAGACACCCCAGATTGGGTTAGAGGTGTCTGTGTCATAGCCCTGACCATCTGTGTCCTCAGCAGGATGTTAGTCTCTGCAGACCACTCACAGCTCCCAGCAGATGAGCAGCTTCCAGGTTGGAGGAATGGCAAAGGCAGGCAGGACGGGTATTCTGGCAGTAATGGGGCTGGAATGTTGTCTCTTGGCCTCAGCTGGGAGGGGTTTCCAGATGCTTAGTATTCATTGAACTGAATGGAACAAGAGCATAGAGAAGTGGCATCTTCTGAGACCTTGTAACCACTAAGGTGGCAGCAGGCCTGGTCACCCCCTTTTTGGTGTAGCTGGGCCAAGGGCAGGGAACATGATAAGTGATCTGTAAGGAATTTCCAGCTCAGTCATTCTAGGACCCTCCTGCTAGACAGCAGTCCTTTATCACATAGGGTAGCTTGCTAGCTGCTCCATGGCCCTTGCCTCTTGGTATTCACTACTCCTCCTCTCAGGCATGAGCTAGACCTAGATGCCTGCATCTAATTAAAAGGAATGGCAAAACCTATACCACCTTCCAGGTTTGGGCTCTGAAGCTCTGAGACTTCTGACCTGTTCATGCACTCTACCGACTGATCCTTCTTGCTCAGTCTCTTATGAATCCCACTGCTATGTCACAAGCTACCGTATGGAAAGGCACCCATGGCAAGGAATTGAGGGAGGCCTCTGGTTAACAGCCAGTGAGGAAGTGAATCCTGCCATCAACCATATGAATGACCTTGGAAGTGGATCCTCCCTCTCTTGGGGTTTGAGACAACTGAGGCCCTTGTCAACACCTAGATTGTAGCCTTGGCAGAGACACTGAGCAGAGGACCCAGCAAATCCTGGACTCTTGACTCTGAGAACCACAAGAGATAAAGTTTGAAGCCACTAAGTTCTGAAGTTATTTGTTAAATAGCCATGGAGGAATAGTGTACCAGAAGTCCAGCAGGCAGCCCAGCTGGGGCGTGGTCCTCCCCACATGTGGCAGCAGGATACAGACAAAGCCCCAGCAATAATGCCTGAGGGTTCTTGTTTCCATTTATTTGTCTAGGAATATACAAAAGACTGACATGGTACAATGATCTCATGGAGAGAAAACATAACACAAAAAGGAGGGGCTAGGTTTCCTCCACAGACCACCCCCCCCTCAGAAAGGCACATATATGTGAGGATCGGGTTTGGGGGCCTTCAATCTGGACCCAGTGTTGCACAGGAGGCCAAGCCCCTCTGTGAACAGAAGAGGAATTCTTCCTCACACCAAACTTGGGGCATGACTCAGGTAGAGTGAGGCCACTGGGAAGGACATGCTCCAGGCTAAAGCTGAGTGTATGGAACCTGTGCCATCGGCCTCCTGAGCAACAGTCTCTCCAACTGCATGTGTGACTGGATAATCCAAGATAGGGTGCCTCTGGGACAGTATCACTGGAGGCCAGTCCAGGCTCAGATTTGCGAGACTGGGGGTAGGCTGAAGCAGGCAGAGAAGCATTCCTGATGCCCACCACTGCCCTCCCAAATAACTGCACCCTCTGCATCTTCCCCTCATCAAGAAGGACCTGTCCTGTAGTCAAGCATGGGGTGGTGGGAACAGAGGTGTCTGGGTCAGAAGTGGCTTTTGCCTCTCATCCCTAGGAGCAAAGAGCAAATCATCTAACTGGCCTGAGTCATTAATGGCTGTCCTTCTTCCCCCAATTAATCAGAACTGAGCCTTCTCTGTCATTTGGGAGGGGAAGAAGAAGGGTTGGTTGAGAAACCATAAAGGCCCAGCTGTGTTGACCACCACCTAGAGCAGGGCAGACTGGAAGTAAAAGACCTTGAAATATTTTTTCTTCTTTAAAAAAGACCTAACATTGTAATGGTTTAACAAATTATAATTTCTTTAAATAACCCACAGACACCCATGACGCTTCCAAATTTACAGAACAAAAAGCACGATTTGCAGCCGGGTTCCTTCCGGTAGCTGGCCCCCAAGGGCTAAATCAGTTCACCTCCAGGACCTCAGTCTCTGGGAGGCCAAACTTGGTCTTGTGCTTGTCAAAGAGCTTCACCAGGGCCTCCATGTACATGGCGTGGTACAGGTCGATGTCCTGCTGGGTTGGATGCTCCAGCTTGGGGATGGTGATGGGCTCACCCACTGCAGGGATGGGGCAAAGGCAGCTGGTTAGTCAGTGTTCTTGGGCAACCCCTTCCGGGTATCTACTGACTTCAATGACTGTGCAATGTGCTGACCATACACCAGAAACTGCCTGTCTCAGATTGTCCCTTTTTATAAATGAGAATACTGAGACCCAGGAATTTGGGAAGGGCCCTGCCCAAGACAACACAGCCCTGAACAGTGGATGAAATTATTGCACTGCACCCTGATAGAAGTTCCTGTGAAAGTCACAGGATCAAGTAAAATGGCTTTGCTTTTGCTCTTCTCTGGGTGAGCTACATTGACTCTTTGAGCCCCAGTTCCGGGTCTGTCACATGGGGAGCCTTCCTCATGGGTCTTTCTAAGGATTCTGTGAAGAATGTGACAGCTCTGAAAAGCGTGTAAGGGCAGGAGAGGAAGAACCGACACTGCTACGCTGTTAATTTTTGTATCTTGCTCCATCTGCAGAACCAATCTACCCCTAAAGTCCTGCAGTGCAATTTCTGAGATTTCTTCCAAATCCCTGTACTTATTCTCCTCTATCTCTACTGCCACACCCTCAGCTCAAGACACTACCACAAAAGCATGGAGACTGACCTTCCCTGTCCATTTCTGCCCATCCCCAACAGACCCAGGGATCACTTTAGAATGCAAATCTGAATCTCCCTTCCCAAATGCTCTCCAGCAGCTTTCCATCCTCAAGGCAAAGAGCCCCTCCTTGGCACTGCCAGAGGACCTGTCCGACTGCAGCCCTGTGAGGGAAGCATGCCTACTGCCTTGCTGATGCTTTGTCTCTGACCACAGCACAAATCACACACCTGCTTCTGATAATGCAAAGTATCTGTGTGAGCTTTGGCCTGTCAAATCTACTGCTCAGGGTCACAAGCTCCTGTGACATCACCAACTTGTGACCTTTAACACATGCACGTATGCACAGCTCTGCAAATATCAAAAACAGGCAATTCTTTGCAATCCTATAAATTGTCCTGAATATACCTGAATCGATGTAGCTGAGGGCTGAGTGTGGCCAGGCTTTGCCACATCTCTCCCAGGTCTATGCGACTCACTTTTTTCTTTCTGCTCCTCAAAAAACCACACAATCTTTCCCTAACTTCACTTAGGCTATTGTTTCTGTCAGAAATTCTCTTCTCCCTTCTTTTACTGATAATTCCTATCAGCAGTGAGGTAAGGTCCCCACTGATAGGAACTCCTAGGGTACCTGTGCATCCCCATCACATCCCCAGAGGTGTTTGCTGGAACACTATCTTCCCAGATGGGCCAGTGGGTACTGCAAACCATCTGCAGGTCTTATTTCCTCACCTGTTATGCTGCTAGGTTCATAGAAATGGATCCATATACTCCTTACCCCCACTGACCATTCCCATTGGCACCCAACACATCAAGGTCCTCATGGTTAAGAGCAAGGCCATCACAGCTGGGTGGCCTATTCTGGGATCTTGATGTGCTCAGGACAGCCCTTGGTGTATAAATTGGGACTCACCAACAGTAGTGATGGGCTTGGAGTAGGGCACCAGCCCCCAGGTGTCTGAGGAAAAGAGGCCTCTGCCATGGAAGATGCAGGGAGCGAAGCCTATGTACTTCTGGAACTTCTTCTGGACCCATCGGCCCCAGGAGCCCTCCTCGAAGATCACCTGCTTGTATACCTCGTTCTCCCCAAAGGAGTAGGTGGGAACCAGGTCAGCTCTGGAAGGGAGAGGCCAGGGTCTGTCACACTCCAACCACTGGTCTCAGTTCTTACTGTCAGCCCTAGAGGCCCTGCGCCCCAGCCAAGCTGCCCTCAGGCCTGGAGTAGACCAGAACCACATGTGCCTCATAACAGACTCTGATGAACCCCTGCCCATTTGCCAGTGCCTGCTCCGGAAGGCCAACATTCACCCTCTTCCTGAAGGCCTGCCTCCCCGTCCCTCCCCACCCCAGGGGTCTCTCAGCTCTAAACTCATCACTGTGTCATAGCCTCAACACACTATGTGTGTTGTCTCTACCTGTCCCTACTCCCTTCCCTACCATTAGGGCTCCTTGTCAGGGTCTGATCTGACCATCCCCAGGACTGGGTTCTGCAGAGCAGCCTCTTACAAAGCATAAAGACAGGGTCCTAATGGAACAGAGAGGAGGGCTGTTCTCCTGTCCATATATCACACTCTAGGATGCATGGGACCTTGATGACATGGTCTAGTGTCTTCCCTAACTTGTGTGTGACTACAGGCTACATCTCTCTCCCTCTGTTGGCCTATGCATTACTGGAGATCTGTCACCCCAGGATCCTCCTCCTGAGTCACCTGGAACCCAGATCTGAGAGGAAAGCAGTGGAGCTGGAGTACAAGAAGCATGACTCTGCATGTTACAATGTGTCCCCACCAGTCCGTTAGCCATACTGGATCTTCTCCAGTGGGAAATGGGGACTCAATCTCCTCACTTTCTGGGTTGCTGGATGTGCTTGGTAAATGGAATATGCTGATCAGGTGGCAACACAGAATATGCCTCTGGTTTTCTACACAGGGATCACAGAGACCCAAGTCGCCCAGTTCCTCTCTGCCTGTTCTCAGGGTCACCCTCCAACAAACATTCCCTGATGTTTCTAGCCAGGCCATCCTCCTCCTGACCTCTTGCTTTCCTAACAGCCCATCTGGCCCAGATGGTAAGTTTTTCTGTAGTTCTGCAAGTGAGGAAGAGGCCACAAGCTACAGCTCTGCTCCACCCAGACACCTGTCTACACTTGGGCAAACTTGGATTAAACTGTGCTGTCTGGGCTCCAACATGCTCCTCCCCTTCTATGCTTTTATGCCTTCAGTGGGGGTGGGCTGGGCTTTGTCAACAAAGGCCAAGGAGAATCCAAGCCCATCCTATTGCCCTGGGCTGAAGCAAATGCTGGATGTGTGTGTATACTTACCCATGGCGCAGGGCCAGCTTCACAAAGCCTTTTCGGTTCCGCAGGGTGACAGCATTCTTGCCAGGCATGGAGCTCAGGGACTCGGCTGCACCCCCCACAACAATGATGATGGCATTACCACTCCCATTCTTTGAAAGCAAGTAGTCTATGGTGTCCCGGTTGACAGGGCAGATGCCTGTTAGACAGGAAGGGACACCCTGTCAGGATTGCTCATTGAACCACTCCCCACCAACTGTGCAGTCAAGTGTAAAACACAAAACCCTATACTTGGACCCCAGACCTAATTCGCCTACGTAGAAGCTGTATTACCCTATGTAAGCTATCCCTTTTCCTGAGCCTTGGCTTTCTTATCTGTTCAGTGGGCATGATGCAAGGTTCTTTGGGGAGTTCATTAATTCAGCAAATTTCCCCTGAGGTTCTAACTCTGCCATGCTGATGCCAGATGCTAGGAATCCCAATGTGTCAATTGGCAGGGGGCCAGCAACAGTGCTGTGAACCCTGAGGAGGTTGTACAATGGACAATAAGAAGGCTGGGCACCCAGAAAAAGGACTGTCAAGAGGAGACTTCAGGGGGAGGCTGTTAACCAAGATGAATCCTGGAGACTCTCCTGCTCAGCCCTGACCCAGTATGTCTGCGGCAAGTTGTAGCTCCCAACACAGGACCCTGTCAGCCTCCTGTGTTGCCCTGCTTGATGGGGAGGCTCAGCAGAGCCAGCAGGGGTGAATTCTCACCTCCGGACATCAGGTACTCCCGCAGCACAGGCATCCGAAAGTTGCCAGCCAGTGTGGCCAGGTAGGGCCTTATTCCAGGGAACTTCTTGCTTACTTCAGTGGCTTCTGTGCTGAAGTTACAGAAGGCACCGAGGCCCATGATGCCATGGGGGTGGTATCCAAAGATGTAGTTCCTGGTGGTCAGTAAATTGTGTGTCTTCACCAGCTGCCAAGGAAAACTTTAGGTCAGAGGCAACTGGCCAGGAAAGGGACAAAGGGACCCACTTAGAAGGTGTGCCCAAAGGACGCAGTGGCATTCCACATCTAACTTCAGACTCTCATTTCTGGGCCACAGGTGGTTGGCAGCCACCATTTGGACTAGGAGGGGGGAGTCTTCTCCCTCATTCCACAGCCACACTCCACTGGCCTCCTGTCTTCCCCTCTTCTCAGTCCCTCCTTCTCACCAAAGCCAGAACAACTGCTCTAAAGCCCAAATCCAACCCTTGCTACTCTCAAACTAAAGAGAGGGTCCACACTCTATCAGGGTGAAGCTCCAAATCCTTAGTTAGGCAAGCAGGTCTCAACTGCAAGTTCTGCCTGTACCAGCAGCCTTCCCAGCCCTGAAGGGAGGGTCTGTCTGGTCTTGCAGCCTGAGGCTCCTCAGCTGCTCCCAGTACAGCCCAGCTCTTACTCCTCCAGCACAGAAAAGAAGCAGTGCAGCTGGCCTAAATGGAAACTTCCTGCCAGAAGCCAAGCTCAGCTCAGGTTCTGAGGTAGGAAAGACAAGAGAGGGTGACTATCAGCCCTGTTCCAGCCAGACCCAGGTGTGTGGAGGGGAGAGGTGGCTAGGCAGTCAATGACCTGGCCTGTGGTACTGTCAACAAAGTTGTCCTGAGATGCTCCAAACATTGACTGGCTTCCTTAAGGTCTACTGCCTACCCTGAAACTGGTGTTATGAGAGGTAGGTGTTACAAAGTGTCCCTAAACCCCTAAACCCTGAGCAACAAGAGACACCAGGCCGGGGGGGGGGGTTGTGGCTCAATGGTAAAGCACTCGCCTAGAACGTGTGAAGCCCTGGATTCGATCCTCAGCACCACATAAAAATAAATAAATATAATAAAGGTTAAAAAAAAAAAAGAGAGAGTCAGTCACCAGGCCTCAGATACCTACCTAGGGAACATCATGGGGGCAGAGATTCTTGAGAGGGAGGAAGATAAGGGTATTTTGTTTATAAAACATTACTTTTTTCACATTAGAAAAACAATCCCTGCAATACCTCCCCCTCCATCCAGATAAACCACTCTGACAAAGTGTTCTTATTTTTTACTTAAAAATGCATATGCCTCTTTTCATAAACCACAAACATGAACTTACAGTCTGAGTATCATTTTTTTTAAATTTTCTACCAAATACATCCGAGCTACTACTGGTCCTGACCCAAATCCCTTGGTCTCCTTGCAGCTGCCTGGCCTGTTGTTGCACAGCTATGTATGTGTAGTAGCACCAACTCAAACCAAGTAGAGGGACATTTTAAAGGCATCTAAACTTTCCCTTTTACAAACAGTGCTTCAAGAGGCTGGGGTTGTGGCTCAGTGGTAGAGCACTTACCTAGCCTAAGTAAGGCACTGTGTTTGATCCTCAGCACCACAAAAAGTAAATAAATAAAAGTATTGTGTCCATCATCTATAATTAAAAATATTTTTTTAAAAAAGAAATAGTGCTTCAATAAATACCTTAATTTTGCCCATATATCTGATTGTTTTCATGAGATAAACTTCCAGAAATATGAACATGTGGGTCTTTTCAGCTTGGCAAGCCTCAAGCACATTCCCAGCTGAGTGCCTGTCACTGTCCCTTTCTTGCATTGAAGCCAGCTGGAAACAAAGTCCCTGGCCACTGGCAGAACATCAGAATTTTCTGTGACTCCAGATTTGGGGATCTCCTGGCTCAGTGAGGGTCCCTGTGATCAGTTTTGGGGGTATAGGTGCTGGTGCTGGTGCTGGCCTCAGAAAATAGAAATCTAAATCTTCAGGTGACAGAGGACTAAAGGGGATATATCAGGACATCACTGGCCACATACAGCTGCCAATATGTGTGCATGTGAGCCCGAATCTCTAAGTTTTAGTCCCTGCTGTGTGGAACATTTGTACCACATTTGCCTTTTAAGGCTGCTCAAAAAGCCAACCAGGTTGGGTACACTGTGGCACATGCCTGTTATCCCAGTGACTCAGGAAACTGAGGCAGTAAGATGGCAAATTCAAGGCCAGCCTCAGCAACTTAGTGAGACCCTGTATCAAAATAGAAAATAAAAAGGGGTGGGGATGTGGCTCAGTGGTAAAGTGCCCCTGGGTTCAATCTCCAGTACCAAAACAAAACACACACACACAAATCCAGCCAGCTCTTAGCTGCCCACCAAATAAATGAGCAGCAGCAGAGGACTTTTCCACCACCAGGGTAGAGGGCAGCAAGGGCATGTGAAAGAGCCAGGTTGACAAGAGCTGGGCAAGGCTGTTGTCTGGCGTCCTAAAGAGCTCTGCCTACCTATACAGGGCTCAGCAAAGCCAGAATTTAAACCTTGAGCCAGTTTCCACAGAAAGAAAGATAGGTAACAAGGTAGGAGCCAAGGCAGCCATTACAGACTGAAAACACTCCAGGCTGGATGTGTGTCCCAAAGGGGTCAGCAGAGCCCTGAAGATCCAGGCCATTCCTTGGATGACAAGGTGGAAACCAGGGCTCAGAGAAAAGAGCTGCTGCTTTCCCTGAGGAGTTAACAGTGAATCATCTCTGTCTGGACAAGGCCACCCAACTGTGCTTTTCCCTGGTCATATAATGAAGATGTAGGAGTCAATTGGTAGGAGCCCAGCTAGCTTTATAAATCATTTCATCCCTCCCCAGGACTCTGATGGCATAAATGGTTAAATGAGGTACCTTGGGGCACTGTGAAGCTTAATGGCCTTTGGTGGGGACCCCAGAAGAATGCAGGCAACTGATACAGCACTTTTGGTTTTGGGTTTGTTTGTTTTTGTACTGAGGATTGAACCCAGCAGCACTTTAAACCAAGTCCCCACCCCACCCCCCTTTTTTCCCCCCTTTTATTTTAAGACAGCGTCTCACTAAGTTGCTTAGGGCCTCGCTAGGTTGCCAAGACTGGCCTGGAACTTGTGATCCTTCTGCCTCAGCCTTCCAAGTCACTGGGATTACAGGTATGCTCCACCATGCTCAGCCTGATACAGCTTTGAACTAGCTCTCCTTCACAGTGTCTTCCCCCAGTGCTGGAGAGAAGGTCCACTCTGGAGGAGAAAGGCACCACAGCTGAAGACTGTTGACTGCCTGCTCTCATGTTCCCTGTTTCCCATGGCAAAATCCCAGGTCTGTGGGCCAAAATGAGCTTGGGACACATTCCTGGAAGGTCACTCCTCAAGCCCTGCCTCCTAGGCTAGGAAGGTGCTCCAGTAGATTTTCCTACCCTAGCCCCATACAGAGGAAGACACTTAGGCCCAGGAAAGAGCAAGGATTTGCCCAAGCTTACACAGCAGGGCCCTGTGGCAGAAGAATGGAATAACATGGGCCCTGAAGCAAAGGGAGTAAGAACAGAGGAGTAAGAACATGGGCCATGAAGCAGGCAAGTTGGCTCCTATACCATCTTGCTTTGTGACCTTGGGACAGTCCTTCCTCTCTTGGCCTACTCTGCCAATGAAGTAATTGGACAGAGTCTTTCTCAGTCTCTTCTCCAAAGGTCCTGCCTCTAACCTCAGGGAGAGGGAACAGGGAACTGGCTGCTGCTCTTCCAGGAAGCCAGCAGTATAGGTAGCTATGGCTGACAGCTGAGCCCCACCTGTGCCAGAAAAAGAGATGTTCTCTGGACCAGCTGAGCTGCTCTGGTGACAAAGATCTAAGAGCCACACAGAGAAGAAAGAGAGGAGGGGTGGGTGGTACAACTGGAGATCCTCATTACATAACCTGTGGCAAGAGGCCAGGCAAAGTGGGTGGGATGGGAGGGTCACACACAACCCTAGAGTGTAAGACCTGACGTCAATCTCCAAGGCCAAATCCTCCTGGAACAGAGGGGAGCCTGAGGCCACAAGGGCAGGAACAGAGCTCAGCACAAGGCCTCAAGTGGAGGCTTAGTGTCCCAGGCTGAGTCAGGCCCAGCCCAGCTCTGTTCCTGGTGTCCATGAGCCCTCAGAGGGCCAGCATGCACATGCTATATGGCTCCAACTTCCAGCTGACTTCTTGGAAAAGAGATGTGAGGACATAGGGACCTGCTGTGCAGCCTAGACAAGTCCTTGCCTCTCTTTGGGACTTAAGTTTCCTCACCTCCAAAATGAGAGGGTTGCATCCAATGATGCAACATCCTCCCAGCAACAACAGCCTCCAACTGTTTACAGTCAGAGTAACAGGGCTCAGGAGAGGGAGGAGAGGGAGCCCTGATCTGGAGGAACAGGAAGGACCTGAAAGGACTGGGGTGGACAGAAGGAGCTGGCCCTGGGGCTGTCCCCATGAGATGCAAGGCAGCGGAGGAATGCAGGGTTGCCCAGCCACCTCCTCCAGGTTGTCCCAGTGGCTGACTCACAACAGCAAACGCACACCACCCTGCACCACACACCACACTTTCACATTCACGTGCTGCATCTGCTGGGCGGCCTTGGCAGCTAGAGTGTGCCAGGCTGGGTGCTGAGCGAGCCGGCTCGACAGGTCTTTATCCTTTGGAGAAAACCTTCAGGATTCTTTGGGTCCTTCCTCTCCTTTGTTCCCATCAACAGCTCCTCTCCCCCAACTTTTCAAACTTGGGGCTTATGTTCTCCCTTTTTCTCTGCCCCCTCATTGCTGTGCTCCTAAGGCAGTGCTGGGTGCCCCCACCTGAAGCCTTCTCCAACCACTCCAGCACCTGGGGTCTCATCCTTCTTTCACTGTTCATCAAATTTCCTGGGCCCTAATTCCCATGGCCAGGACCCAAGTAACTGGCTGAGAGAAGTAATACTCTGTAAGACCTCAGAAGAAAACAAAGCCCCTCAACAGGCTACTTTCAGTTCGATCCTTGGTTCGGGCCAGATGAGCTTAGACTACCTTAGTATTGCTCTTGATAAATCACCTCCATTTTAAATTATGTCCTTAATACTCACTGAAGGGAAAACAAACAGTGGTCATAATATATGCTATTATACCTGATCCTTCTGTCACTCAGGCTCTCAGTGATCTTTTAGATCCAAAGGCTAGATCAAGTCTTGTTTCCCCAAAGAACAACACACATATCTTCCATTCTCAAAACATGAAGCCAATGACAATCATGTTTGTCTTTTTGACTTTGCTGCCAGAAAGCTCAGAGCTGGATGTGAACTTCAACTGTTGTTTCCCCTTGTGTTTGAAAATATTAGTACTTTTCCCTGAAGTCTTAACTTTTCTCTTCACCTGGTCTGGCATTATACATATCTGAAATTCCCTCCAATCTTGCATAAAGTCAGGTGCAGGGAGAGCCCACACAGTTCATCACCACATAAGTGGCCACTCTGCATGGGTAGGTTAAGGTCTGAGTTGAGATTTTCACCAATTCCCACCCTCCCAAGATAGAATGAGTCCTTACCTGGATGGGAAAATAGTCTCGAAAGTAGCGCCACACAGCCCAATTTCGTACCCACTGTGATCTCCTGCCACCTTCCAAGAAACAAAATACAGTATTGGGAAGAAGTAGGAGTGGGGGACATTTGGACAAGGCAGACAAGACAGCGCCAGTATGAAACCCTGAGGTAGGGGACTGTCAGCTCATGTGGCATCTTTGTCCTTGCCCACTGGGCCCTTTCCCACATATTCCCCTATTATACAAACTCTTGACTGAAGGGGAGCACCCACAGGTACCAGGATGGTACCCTGTGAGGAGCTTTTAACCCTCCACCCAAAACTACACAGTGGACTAGCCCAGTGCTTTTCATAAAGTAGGAATAAAGTAGAAAAAGGCAGAGCCCGTGGTGAGGAACCGCAGCGGTGCAGGAGGGGCAGGCTTCCAGGGCCAGGGAGTGGGCGGGAGACCTGGCACTTACCTTTCTTGGGTGTGTTCCAGTCAAATGCCAGCCAGGTGAAGTAGAGCACAGCTATGAGCCAGCAGTCAGTGCAGAAGGTGTACATGAGGATGGCACTGCAGGCCACTCCTGGTGGGGGGCAGATGGCCACAGGTCAGGCCCTGTCCTCCTGGCTGGGTCTCAGGCTCCCCTCTGGACACTGGTGGAGTGTTTCCTGTGGCACTAAGCTAGGCAAAGACAGAGCCACAGCATGGAGGCCCACAGACCCTACCCCTGGCAATGGCTAAAAGGATGCCCGGCCCACAGGACGTGAGCCTCATCTCTCGGATTCTGACAGGCTGTCCTGGCACTGACAGGCACCTGGGTTCCATGTTTTCTGGGATGTAGTATCAGAGGAAGGAGACTTGAAGCTATTCTTATTGTCCCTCCTTGTAAGTCCTGCCTACACAAGTGCCCAACAAAGTTACTATGGGTAAAGGGAGGAAATATCTACCAAGTGCTTCTCTCAACTTTTCAAGACTTGAACTGAACCACTGAGTCACTGAACTAAGGTGACATTTTCCCCATTTTAAAATTTTACTTATTTATTCATTGTGGTGCTGGGGATTGAAACTAGGGTCTTGTACATTCTAGGTAAGCACTCTACCAACTGAGTTATATTCCCAGCCCTAGCCCATTTTAGAGAGGAGAAAACTGAAGGTTGAGGGGGAAGGTAACTTGACCAAGGTCACCTGGCAGGACAGTGGCAGAGCCAGGATTCAAATTCAAGTCTGATTCTAAAGTTCATAGTCTGCACTAGGCTTTAGAAATTCACCAAAAATGAGAAATTTCAGACTGTCACTGAAGGAACCTGAGAGAGGGGACTCCTGCCCCAAGAGGAGGGCTGTCCCCCTTCCAACACAACAGAGAGACAAGGAGTCCCTGGCCAAAGGTCAGACCCTGTCAGCCTTCCTCTCATCAAAAATCCAACAGGGCCTGGAGTTGTATCTCAGTGGTAGAACGTTTACCTAGCACACGTGAGGCACTGGGTTCAATTCCTAGCACTACATTAAAAAAAGAAAAAGAAAAAAACAGGACACTTGAAGACTCCCCTGGGGGCCAGCTTCCATTTGGTCACTGTGTTCTGGACCTGCTGGCCATAAGTCTGAATGAGCTGGCACTGGAGGGAAGGAAAGCTGATAGGTAGCCTGGTTTATCTCTTGGTTCACACTTTGATAACCACACCAGGGCTTCTCTCTTTCCAACCCTTCCAGAAGTGCTCTCCAATACCAAACCATCCCACAGGACTCTCTCATCTCTGAACTCTCCTCATTAGGGAGGGGCCAGATCTTTGTTCCCTGGCACTCAACACAAGACCAGGGGGCAGTAGGACTCATGCTTGATAGGAAAGGTATGAGAGAGGCCAACTCTGTGTGCCCACTCTCTCCTGAACACTGAGCTTCCTGGACTGAGAATTCCATACCATCTTCTTCCTACCACACTGACCTTCCTCTGGGTGTATGTGGGAGAGGACATGGCTAGATGCAGACCCTTGGTGAACCTAGGGGAAATGATGGCCCTTATCATCCCCAATCCGGTCACATTCTACACTCCTGAGCCAGCCTTTCCCCAGGGTACAACTACCTTGGGAGGGACAGTGACTAGTGACCAGACATCTGTTTCTCAGGACCTGCTTAGGGAAGCTGAGTCTAAGGGAGCTTTTGCAGGCTATAAGACCTGTTAAAGGCAACTGTGGGATCCCTAAGGCAGCTGGGCAAAGAGCCACGTCTATGTTAAGACTGATTTGCAGTTTATCTTGGGCCTGGAAAGGGATCTATTCTAGCTCCCATATCCATAGGGATCCAAGCTTCTGTAGAGGCTCAGTGATGCTCCAAGTGGGACTGGGCCAGTCCTATATGGTTCAGACTAGGGTGTAAACAGTCTGGAGACCAAGCTGCCAGCAACCCCCAGCTCTCCTGAGGAGCAGAAGGTGGAAGGGGCTGAGAGCCTTTGACCCCACTGCCTGGAGGGCTGGTATCTCTGGGAAGGAGAGTATCCCTATACCCTACTCTGTGGCTAAGGTCACCTAGATGGAGAAGAGAACTATTGAGTAGTCCAGAAACTGCAGCTGGTCTCTTTCTCAGTGGGGCCACTCCCCACCAGTGTGTCCAAAGCCCTATCTCACAGATAGGTCAACTCTCTTATCATTATCTGCCTCTCTCAATAGATTCCCTCCAGCTGACATCACTTGGCCCCTGAGCACCTTGAGAGCTGAAACTAGGTCCAGCCCTAGCCTTAAATACAGGAAGGTTTATTGAAGAAAAGAGTGAAGTAAATACACCAGATGGTCATCCTTTCTCAGAGCCTCTGTCCCATCTTCTTAGGTCATGGGTGCAACAGGAACCAATGCCACGGGCCCAAGAGATATAAGCCATGTGCCTTAAAGACCTGCTTGTTCCACACAGGGAGGCTCAGGGCACCTTCACACATCACCCACTCCTGACCATCCTGGTGGCCACAAAGCAGCTCATGTTGCAAAAACCCTAGCACCTGAGATCTGTAATGCAGGGCAGTGTGTGGATGTTTGGTGGCAGGGGAGGTAGCAGCAGAACTGGTGAAGAATAAGGACTCTGGGACCAAAGAGACCTGAGAGTTGGCCCTGCCATGTACTGGCCTCAACCCATCCCCAAAACTCTGCTTCCTTAGGGTTGGGAATGAAGAGTGATGATGTTTAAATTGAACACACAGCCTGGCAGACAGTAAGTGTACATGGACTTGGATGGGGGAAGAAATGACATCTGAATTTTCACTCACCTTTAATGGAAATTTAGCATCTTTCACTTACAAATGTAACAAACCACACAAGTATCAGTGCCTGCTGACATGACACCAGTAAACAAAGGTATTTTCATATCATAGTGCAGCAGTTGCAGATTCTTGAAAAATTATTTTTCATCCTACTTCAGAATTACAGTAATTATTATACCTGCTACTAGATCTTTTTTTTTAACTTAATGTAACAACAAATGTGTTACTGTGTTTAATTAGGTTTCTAAATATACATTTACTTTTTAAATATTTAGTTTTTAGTTGTAGGTGGACACAATACCTTTATTTTATTTTTATGTGGTGTTGAGGATGGAACCCAGTGCCTCACCCACACTAGGCAAGCGCTCTACCTCTGAACCACAGCCCCAGCCCCACATTTGCATTTTAGTATCATTGGTTCCCTATGAAAGTCAATGTACTTTGTACTACAAATTTAAAAGCACTGAAAAAGTCTGTATTCTTCATCAGAATATCAGAGGGTTCTGTGGTTTGGAGGGAGGCCTAGAGGGGGCAGCCACAGCAGCCTTCACAATATGCTGTGAGCCACTGCCAGCAGGTATGGGATCCAGTGGGAGGTAGATGAAGGGCTGCTCAGGGTAGTAATTAGCAGCAGCTTAAGCAGACCTGCCCATCCCACCAGGTCTCACCCCACCTACACAAGGGAGTTAAGAAGACACAATAGGCTGGTTTCTGGGCTGGAGTTGGGCTTGATCAATTGTTAACCTACAGCTTGGGGCCATCCCCATTATATGCTGCGTGGGTCAAAGTTCTACAAGCCAAGTCCTGACCCACTAAGACAGAGAGAGTCTGAGTCTAAGTGGGAGAGCTTTGTAGAAGAATAAACAGGCAATCATCTGGGTTCTTGTCCTGATCCCTCTATTTTCTTCTCATGTGATCCTGAGAAAGAACCTGTTCCCACTAAGCTTCTGATTCCTAATTGAATAAGGGGATGAGGTGTTGGGGCACTGTGTTCTCTACTTCAGGTTTCTAATAAAGTGGCCAAATGCAAGTCAAACATCAGGGTTTGAGCTCTGAAGGAACAGGTTTAATTTGCTCTGTTCTCCAAACCAATGTTTCTTTATCTTTTTGAGGCCATACACTTCTGAAAGACTCCTGAAGACTGCTATCTGTGGTCCTTTCCCCACAAAAATGTGCAGTCAGCAAAGCATGGTAGTGCATACCTGTAATCCCAGCAGCTTGGGAGGCTGAGGCAGAAGGATCATGAGTTCAAAGCCAGCCTCAGAAATTTATCGAGGCCCTAAACAACTCAGCAAGACCCTATCTCTAAATAAAATATAAAAAAGGGCTGGGGATGTGGCTCAGTGGTAAAGTTCCCCTGGATTCAATCCCATGTACTAAACAACAACAAAAAAATACATATACATATATTTATAAATATATATACACAAACATACAGAGTCTTGTATATAATTTTTAATCTAATTTTATGGGTTTAAGGACTCTCTAGAGCTCGATTCTTTGGCTTAACAGTGAAGACTAGCTGGCTATTCCAACCAGGTCCATTAATTCTGGGCTCCCTGGTACAGTGAACTCCCCAGGAAACATACTGGCTTCCACTCAAATTCCAACTCAATCATTTGATAAGCATGATAATCTCAGTAGTTACTGAACCTCTGTAAATTCCCACTTCCTTTCCTGGGAAGCGGGATTTGAGAAAGACATGTCAGGGCTTGGCATACTATGGGATTTGCCCCACTCCTCTGCCCTGCAAATGTGATCTTTTAAGCAGAAGTCCACTGTTCGGATGTTTTCCATCGTACATGGAAGGTCTCAAAAAGAGGGAGTAAGTGGAAGGAGGCTATGGAGAGGATGTTCCTGTTCTAACTTCTGTTGGTAGGGAGACCCCACCTACCCGTCCAATGAGCCCCACTTACCCAGCACGAGGAAGGACAGGACCCACTGTAGTACTGAGATGACCTGCAGCTGCTTTTCTACCTTGGACCTATTAAGCCAGGTGATGGAGAAGAGATCCTGGAGGGCGGAGAGGATGCTGGAACCAGTACCTGCAGCAGGAGGAAACATGAGCCTACTGCCATCCTTCCCTCCAGTCTCAGAGCCCCAACACCAACCTGCCTCCCAGAGGTGAGTGCCTTCTTAGACATGAGGACATGGACTACAGAATCAGACATACCTGGGTTCAGATCCTTGCCCTATCACTAAATGGCTTTATAACAAGGTGTTTAGATGCTCTCTGTGCCCCAGTTTCTACATATGCACAATAGAAATGGTTTCCAGGCTAGCTCTGGATCCAAGTCTTGGCCAGGTCCTCTAAAACAGCCAGTTCGCTTCCCTCCCCTCTGTCCCAAACTCCTGTCATCCTTTATCTGGATCTATCACAAATATTTAATCTTTGCTATCTGTGTCTGTGAGGCCAAGGACAGAGGTTCAACATCCAATTTGCAATGTTTTCTTCTCCAAGTGTACTTTGAGCATCCCCAATCCCTGCCCTACCCCCTTTATCCCAGGGACTGATATCTCCCTTTTCCAAGGAGTAGCGCCTCTTATTCCCACCCCCAACACCACATCGCCACCATCTGCAGAGAGATTTACACTGTCAACTTCATCTCAGTTTGGGGCCCAAAGGGAGCCAGGTAGGAGCCTTTGCTTCCCTGAAGGACCCTTAGTCAGAGAACTTCAGCAAATTGGAGGACACAGAGGGCTGGAATGATCTTTACTATCAAGCAAGCACCCAACCTGGAGGTGAGGACAAGATTATGCTCTGTGATTATGCCCTTACAATGATAAGCTGAACTCAGCAGTCTATGGGCAGTGGAGCTGGGAAGGCTGCTAGAGAAACAGCACTGGAGAAGATCATGGCAAGGCCCCTGACCCATGCTCACTCTGTTCAGCACTAGACTAAAGCAGGGGGCCACCCCACACTCCTCCACTGCTGAGCTCAGCTGCCTGCCCTTTGCTCAGCACATCTTCACTGAGCGCCTATTGTGTGCTGCCAGAACATTCTTCCCCACCACCCACTGTGCAAGGCCCAGCACAGATGACTCCGTCAAGATCTTGTCCTTGAGGATCTCATGACCTTTCACTCTGGCCTGAAGCTGGGAACCAGGAAAGAGAATTTAGGGGCTTACACTCAAGCCTTCACATTTCAACAAAATCTGTAGGGCAACAAGGTCATAACAGGGTTCAGAAAGAGACTTACCCTTCCTCAGTGAAGTTAACAACTGCTTTGACTTTTAGAAGGCAGGTGGGAAATGCCAGGCCTCAAGGTGGACACATCAATCATGTCCCCTTGACCTATCTGATGCAGCAGAGGGAGGGGACTTTGTTCCACTCACTACAAGAGCCCAGGTAAGACCATGCTACTGAGCACCCAATATGAACCATACATATTGGGTGCTCAGTAGCATACAATGCTCCATAGATATAACTAAGGCAGAGCTGGCAGTGTGTGAAGTCACAAAAGCAAATAAGAAACTGGTCCCCAGAGCCCAAGAAGTTTGACTCCTTCACCCCCTTTTACAAAGTTCAACCACCACAGGCCCTTTCTATCTCATACCTGCCCAACAATCCATCCTAGAGCCCAAGGGCCCTACAGGGTCATCCAGTAAAGCCTCATGGAGACTGAGCCTAGAGAGAGGCACTGGCTGGCTCAGGGATACCCAAGCAGTAAGTGACAAAGGTGGAACCCAGGACTTTCACTGCTGTTCAGACACCTCCGTTTCCCCGCAGCAGCTGCTGAGTGAAGGACTCTGGCTGGACCTGTGCACAGTGGGGCCTAGACAGATGACTTAGTTACATTAATACATCCTTGAGGGTTCTAGACCTTCACCCTGATCTATATGTGCAGGGAGGCCTGGGTGAGTACATGTGGGAAGGAAGTGAGGCCCAAGTCCAGGACTGAACCCCTGATCCAAGGCTGACTGGCCATGTCATCAGCCATAATGGGCTTTGCCTCCTGAGCTGGGCAGGATGCAGTGATGAGGAGCCATGCTATGAGCAGCATAATGCTTCATCTGGTCCAGGCTAGGTACCCTCACTGGAGAGAAGGCAAAGGATTCTCCAGTACTTTCCTACCCATGGTGTGGTCTGAAACAGTGAGGTCTAAAACAGCCTCACCCGTGAAAAGCTGGTCAGAAATGCCTGGATCTACTGAGTCAAATCTGCATTTTAACAAGACCTCCACTCATGTGATTAAATTTGAGAAATATAAGTTCCTTAGTTTAAAGACAGGTAGATTAAAAATGGGCAAAGGGGGCTCAGTGGCAGAGCACTTGCCTAGCATGTGTGAGGCACTGGGTTTGATCCTTAGCACCACATAAAAATGAACAGATAAAATAAAGTCATGCTTTCCATCTACAACTACAAAAAATTTATTTTAAAATGGGCAAAGGAAGAGAGCTGAGACTACCACATTCTGCTGGGCCCAAAATAAAAGTGACAGGGAACACAGCATCAGACAACTTCTCATACCTGTCTGTTTCAGACTACAGATGGACCCCCAGGCCAACAGTCTGAGGAGTGCTTAAAGATAGGTGTACTGGGGGCTGGGGTTGTGGCTCAGTGGTGGAGCGCTCCACTAGTACATGCAAGGCCCTGGGTTCGATCCTCAACACTACATATAAATAAATTAAATGAAGGTATTGTGTCCAGCTACAACTAAAAAATAAACAAAAAAAATAGGTATACTGGGGCTGAGGCTGTAGCTCAGTGGTAAAGTGTTTGCCATGCATGTGAAGGCACTGGTTTCAATCCTCAGCACCGCATAAAAATACATAAAGACACTGTATGTTCATCTGCAACTAAATAAATATATATATATATAAAAAAAGATAGGTGTGCTGGAGTCATCTTACCTCGCCCCCAACCTCTGAGACAGAACCAGCCAACTATGGTTGTGGCAGCACTCCCACTTGGGGAGGGAGTGCCAAAACTCCTCATTGGTGACATGTCCCCGGTGGAAATAACTGAGAAAACCTAAAAATTCTTCCTCTCTGTGTTTATTAGGACTTTGATGAGGTTCAAGCACTTAACCCTCATCCCTGATACATAAAGAAACCAAGTGCCTAAGGGGCTCACACAAGTCCCACATCCAGCCAAAGCAGAGCCCAGGCTGTTCTCATCCTGCCTTATCCAGCCCAAACCATGGCCCACAGCTCACTCTGCCAGCCAAGTGGAACCGCAGTCTAGGAAGGAGAGGCAGAGTTTCCATGGGAGCTAGTGTGGGCCACCGGGAAAGGGAGGCTGCGGATGCAACTCTACCTTCCTCAGGTCAGGCCCACTCCCTCAGCCCCACCTGGAGGGCCAGAGCCCAGCTCCAAGGTTGGCCTGTCTGTGATGCTGAACCCAGGCCCCAGTGGAAGCTCCCAGCAAGCTAAGAGATACTGAGTCACTTCTCTGCTTGGAAGGCCCCTCACCTGAGATTCCCTGACAGTGAAAGAAAGCAGTTATATCCTACAGGAAGCCTTGGGAGAGAAAAAACCTCTCCTTCTTCTGGACCATGCAAGTCTGGAACTGTCTGGGACCATCTTGCCACAATCTTCTGTTTGCAGATGAAATCAGGAGATACCAGCACAAGGAAGGAATAAGAGCGAGTAGAGCCCTCCCTCTGGGCTCCCACAGCCCCTTCGTGTATTAACTGTCCATTTCAAGTCGATTCTCACATGAGACTGGGAAGCCGCCTGAGGACCAGGCCTGGGTCTGATCTACATTTGGGTTCCCAGGTCCTGGCCCAGAGCAGGTACTCAGAAAGGTTAGCTTAGAGAGAGGAAGAGGATTTCTCTGGTCTGGCTGTCCCTCAGGCCTGTGGGCTCCCTGTATGTGGGGCTGAGCAACAGGTATCATGCCCAAGAGGCCCCAAAGCCTTGAAGCCTCCACAAGCACTTGACAGGCACTCCGGTTCCTGAGAGTTTCGCATCACTACCCCCATTCTGATGGTGACACGTGGCTAAGGGCCAGCCTAGAAAAAGAGCTCAGAGAGGTTTACTGTGTGTAAAGGCCCAGGAGTCCCAAGGCAGCAAAGGCCTATGTGTCCAAGTCAGACTGGGCTACCCACCAGAAGGCCAAGCCAGCCCCATCACTGAGGTCCCCAGAGCCTCTCTTGCCTCCCAGTTTCCCTACTCAGGAAGGGAATCCAACCCCTTATCTAGAGATGTCCTTTTTTCATGGGAAGAGACATGATAGGCTCTAAAGCAAGTTAACCAATCCTGGAAGAAGACTCCCTGTGGCCAATTCAGACAGACATTCCTGGACACCGTATATTTTACACAGCTCACTTGTTCCAACATTTGAGAAGGGGAGAGGGAATACAGATGCTGAGAAGCCCCAGGCAGCATTCTTACCATGCAGAAAGCATCCCCTACCCCTAGGATGAAATGGTGTGTCACTATCCCATAGCATCACCTGGGAAGGTGGGCAAGGCAGGGAGCAGCAGCCCCAATTCACAGAGAAGGAAACTGAGGTGAGGTGAAGCCACTTGCTTGTGTTCAGGGTATCAGGGGCCAAGTCTCAAGGCAAGTATTTGAGCCACAAGTCCCTCACCATTTCTGTGATGCCATGTCACTAAGGGACATCCCTATATAACAAACCAGTCCACACCCAGACTTCAGGAAGATACCCTGGCTAAGAAGGGCTGCCTGCTCTGCTCACACCATGCCCAAAGTCTCACGGGGACAATCCTGTGCAGACTGGCTGTGCAAGGAGTGTGAACCCCACCCAGATGCTCCCCAAAATCATCTCCTGCTGTGAGGGCAAAACCATAGATTTCTGCAATAGTGGGACCAAAGACCACAGTCTCGGGACCCAGCCCAGGGCTGGCAGCGGCAACAGGCATGTTGGAACCTCCTTACCCAACATCTGATAATAGAATGACTAGCCGCACCCCAGGGCTGACGAAAGCAGAGCTTCATGGGCTTCCTCTCATAGTTGCCTAAGGGTGGCAGAGCCTGAATACCAGCACCCCAGATCTGGGTACCTGGGCCAGCTCGGCCCCTGCCTGGCTCTGTGACCTCAGGCATGTCACTAACCTTTCTCATCTCTAAATGGGGTG